CTTCTTTTTACTAACTCAGAGGGGGTTGTCTGTAAAGGATGTATGGAAATCGGCATTTGACAACTCGAGTAAGTCATCCTCTGTCTTTGTTTATTTCGTCAGTCACTCTGGGCAGGTATTAACCCTTTAATCTATGTCCCCCCAACCCCCTCAGACATTCGGATTGGCCAACCCTGGGGGAGATGATCGACAATGGAAAGCGAGTTCCATGGTGCAGAGGTCCTCGTCATCCTTGTCATCGTTCCCAAGGGTCATATGGGCGGTGAAGGACAGGGGCCACCGCCTTGCATGAAGAGATCTTTGAGGGCGTCGTAATTGATCTGTGTACCTGTACTTATTTGGGATTCTTCTTAAGGAGGTCGCGCACCAATCACACACAGATTCCGCAGTTGTTCCTCCAGCAGTAGTAGACACGTCTCAGGGAAGCCTCAATTATACAAAAAATATCGATTGAAATGAAGGACAGGCCATTCGATCCGTTGTTGCTTACTCTTTCTTTGACTTTCTCTTCTCATTGCAATATTTTACGACTTTCGCTAAAATATTCTAGGACCACAAAAGAAGGTAAGAATTTTTGGAAGTGAAGCTCAGCACAAGTAAAAGATTATCAGCTCTGCGCTCCAAGCTAAAGCCACTCCTTGAACATATGTTGATAGATTACCTTCACAATGTGGACCAAAATCACATAGCCCATGACCATGGCCGCCAAGAAGCCATAAAACTCTGGTTTAGGACGTGACATCCCCAGTACAGCACTAAGCTTGGGAATGTAAGGAATGGCGAATACTATGCCACTGACCAAAGTAGTCAGGGCTACAATGGAGACAGACACTCGTGATTGGATAATGGGAATTTTTCCTGTTTGGAGGAGTTGGATAATAAAGAGCTGACGGAAAAAGGGCCCAAGCGTCAGGACCTTGCTTCGTTTTTCGGACCAAGACACACACCTGAGTTATTGCACCCTCCAAAAACCAATTAGTCTGGGCAAGTGGAACCAGGGTAGAATGTTGGTCTCGGATTCCGAATGGGTACCTGGGCATGTCATGAGCTATTTCAAAGAAAGGGAAAGAATGTGAAACCCACCAATTGATAAGGAAGGTACAAATATCGAATACACTGTAAGTTGGGCCCAAAAAAATCATGAAGCGTGCAATTGACCTGGCATTCCAAGTGGTTGGAGCGGCGAGATATTCCGGGTCGACGTTATCCCTGTGCGCACACCAGTCAGGACGAACTGATGACAAAAGACGACAAGCTCTACCAAGGAATTGTAGCCTGGGAGGAATCATACAGCAAGTTTTGGAAGAGAAGCTGGAGTGGTTGAATTGGCTGGTAAGGCAACCACGCTAAGGCGACTAACAAATTAAACAAACAAAAGACGTGTTATTTCGAGAAACCCTTGAGTCGAGAAACACTAACCGAGGACAGAGAAAACATTGTTAAAGTTGGATGAGGTGGCCATCTTGATGTACTTGATTGTATTGATGAACCTGATACACAGTTCAAAAGAATGAGAGAATGAGAGAGAAAGATACACACATTTGTCTGCCTTACAAAACACGATGGGCAATGACATCAAGATTTTTTTCCAACAGAATAACATTGGCAGCCTCCTTGGCGATCTCAGTTCCCAAATCCACAGAAATTTCGACATCAGCCACGCGAATCGCCAAGGCGTCGTTAACTCCGTCGCCTAAAAATGCGACAACTCCGCCCCCTCCACCACTACGTAACCCTTCCATGACTTGAAGTTTCTGATGAGGACCTTTGCGAAAATAATGCACCATTCCAGAACCGCATCAAACTTTGCGGCTTGACCAGTGGAAAGTGCAGCCAGCTGTGATCCCGTAATCATCAAGTCTTTCTCGTCCTCTGGGATGCTGAGGTGATTGGGGGAGGATGACTTGGAAGGAAGGATACCAAGATTTCAGGCGACTTTGGCAGGGAGCATTGCCAGTGAGAATTTTGACCTGTTCTCCAAGTTAGCATGCTATGGTTTGGTGACAAAAATAAACATGCCTGGACGCCCAGCTTAGCAAGCCTATTGATTGCCTCAGAAGCATTGGGTTACAAAGGATCCAAAAAGCCAACAAGTCGGATGAAGACAACCGTCGGTCACGTCATTGGTGTTCAACGTCATAAAAGGCAGGGCAACCGACGATTTACAAGCTACAGCAACAAGTCGAAGTCCTTCTCCATTGAGCCTCTCAGCCGTGTCGAAAATTCACTGTCCAGCATCGACAGTGAGCGGCGAGGCCTTGTTGGGCTTGAAGTCGTCCAACTTGGTGGACGCAGACGGTGTGGAACGCTACTCGATGCTAGTGTCACTCGGGTAGCGGGACGGCTGTTGGAGCACCTAGCGGACAACGCGAACAGAGGTGTGACGACCCATGAAGACTGGTGGGTACCACTTTTATCATATAAATAAGGTAACTGCCTAGAGCTCCCTGTGTATAAGTCCACAGTCTTTATGATAGGAATCATTCCAGTTACCATGTCTATTCATTAGGCGATTTTCATTAGTTATCTGGGCGATATCATGGTGATTTTCATTATTTATCTGGCTGATATCATTGCAATTTTCATTAGAAACCTGGGCGATATCATTGGAAATTTCATTAGCTACTTGGTCAATATCATTGTGATTTTCATTATTTATCTGGCCGATATCATTGTGATTTTCATTAGATACCTGGGCGATATCATTGGAAATTTCATTAGCTACTTGGGCAATATCATTGCGATTTTCATTAGAAACCTGGGCAATATGATTGGAAATTTCATTAGCTACTTATGGGCAATATCATTGGAAATTTCATTAGCTACTTGGTCAATATCATTGTGATTTTCATTAGTTATCTGGCCGATATCATTGTGATTTTCATTAGATACCTGGGCGATATCATTGGAAATTTCATTAGCTACCTGGCCAATATCATAGCAATTTTCATTAGAAACCTGGGCGATATCATTGGAAATTTCATTAGCTACTTGCAATATCATTGCGATTTTCATTAGTTATCTGGCTGATATCATAGCGATTTTCATTAGAAACCTGGGCGATATCATTGGAAATTTCATTAGCTACTTGCAATATCATTGCGATTTTCATTAGTTATCTGGCCAATATCATTGCGATTTTCATTGGATACCTGGGCGATATCATTGGAAATTTCATTAGCTACTTGGGCAATATCATTGCAATTTTCATTAGAAACCTGGGCGATATCATTGGAAATTTCATTAGCTACTTGGGCAATATCATTGCAATTTTCATTATTCATCTGGCCGATATCATTGCAATTTTCATTAGAAACCTGGGCGATATCATTGGAAATTTCATTAGCTACTTGTGGGCGATATCATTGGAAATTTCATTAGCTACTTGGTCAATATCATTGCGATTTTCATTAGTTATCTGGCCAATATCATTGGAAATTTCATTAGCTACTTGCCCAATATCATTGCGATTTTCATTGGAAACCTGGGTGATATCATTGGAAATTTCATTAGCTACTTGGCCAATATCATTGCGATTTGAACATCAGGCACTGCCTTCAGGGTCCACTTCAGGGTACATCCCAAAAGGGAAATATCACCTGGTTTGACTAAAAAGTGAAGAAAACCAAGAGGAGAATGACTTTACCTATCAGGGTCCATGTAAGGGGATAAAGAAAGGGCTACAATTATTGTATCGTGNGAAAAATGACCAAAAAAGGAAGGTTCATGCCCTACTATAAGAGTCAGATATAGACTACCAAGTTTACTGATAGACTACAAAAAAGTCGGACTTAGACTACACAGTTTACTGATAGACTATAAAAGACTATAAAAGCTTGGACTTAGACTACAAAGTTAGGGTTAGGGTCAAAAGGTTATCCTGACTACAAAGTTTGTAGTGTCCGCTTTTTGAGACTACAAAAGTTTGTAGTGTCCGCTTTTTCATTAGAAAGTTTGTAGTGTGCGCTTTTTGAGACTACAAAGTTTGTAGTGTTCATTTTTTCATTAGAAAAGTTTGTAGTGTGTGCTTCTGCTTTTTGAGACTACAAAAGTTTGTAGTGTTGAGCTTTTTCATTAGAAAAGTCTGTAGTGTCCACTTTTTGAGACTACAAAAGTTTGTAGGGTCCGCTTTTTGATACTACAAAAGTTTGTTGTTGACATGTAGTTTATGGTGTCCTTGGCCCTATCTATGTTATGGGGATGATGTTGAAGGATTGCCATCATATTGCCAGTGCTGTAGCATTACTTTTTGACATCATGCACAAGTTGTCTTTCATATTAGGAAAGGCTATTCCTATCTCAAAACATAATTGTAAGCTCATGTGGGGATATGGCTGAAGGATTGACATGACTTTACATATTGCTATTGCCACATCATCAGTTTCTCACATCATGCCCAAGTTGGCTTTCAAGCTAGAGGAGGCTATTCATGTTGATATCTACTCAATACATGGTCAACTTACAACATGACCTGACTTAAAGATACCTCCAAGGATGAATCAGCCCATCATCCTATGGCCCTCAAAGAGCAGTATCAAAGTTGATGATGTTTGGGACAGGCCAGTAGCTATCAATGTGAAAGCAGACAGTGTGAAAGCCAACTTGGTCATGATGTAAAAAACTGGTGATGTCATGTCAATCCTTCAGCCATATCTCCACATGAACTCATAATTATGTTTTAAGGTATGACAGTAGGTATCAATATGAAAGGCTTAGAATAGCCTTTCCTAATGTGAAAGACAACCTGTGCATAATGTCAAAAACTCATGCTGCAGCACTGGCAATATCATGGCAATCCTTCAACCTCATGCCCATAACCTAGACAGGATTAATGACACCACAAAATACATGGCAACTTGTAGTCTCAAAAAGCGGACACTACAAACTTTTGTAGTCTCAAAAAGCGGAAGTGCACACTACAAACTTTTCTAATGAAAAAATGAACACTACAAACTTTGTAGTCTCAAAAAGCGCACACTACAAACTTTCTAATGAAAAAGCGGACACTACAAACTTTTGTAGTCTCAAAAAGCGGACACTACAAACTTTGTAGTCAGGATAACCTTTTGACCCTAACCCTAACTTTGTAGTCTAAGTCCAAGCTTTTGTAGTCCAAGTCCGACTTTTGTAGTCTTTTATAGTCTATCAGTAAACTTTGTAGTCTATCAGTAAACTTGGTAGTCTTTTAGTGTATTAGTAAACTTTGTAGTCTAAGTTCAACTTTTATAGTCTTTTATAGTCTATCAGTAAACTGTGTAGTCTAAGTCCGACTTTTTTGTAGTCTATCAGTAAACTTGGTAGTCTATATCTGACTCTTATAGTAGGGCATGAACCTTCCTTTTTTGGTCATTTTTCCCACGATACAATAATTGTAGCCCTTTCTTTTAGCTTTCTAAATATACTGAAATCATGTTATTTGGTTTTGTTTTCATGGAGAAAAACACAAAAAACAAAAAAAAAACACGACACTTTTGAAATTCCTTTACCTCATATCTCCACAACAAAAGCACTTCAGAACATAATTCAAACAGATTCGGGAAGCTACAGTGTAGGGCTACAATTTTCGTTTTTTTGACCATTTTTGGTAATTGGTCATGTGACCATCATCCCAACATCCCCTTACATGGACCCTGATAGGTAAAGTCATTCTCCTCTTGGTTTTCTTCACTTTTTAGTCAAACCAGGTGATATTTCCCTTTTGGGATGTACCCTGAAGTGGACCCTGAAGGCAGTGCCTGATGTTCAAATCGCAATGATATTGGCCAAGTAGCTAATGAAATTTCCAATGATATCACCCAGGTTTCCAATGAAAATCGCAATGATATTGGGCAAGTAGCTAATGAAATTTCCAATGATATTGGCCAGATAACTAATGAAAATCGCAATGATATTGACCAAGTAGCTAATGAAATTTCCAATGATATCGCCCACAAGTAGCTAATGAAATTTCCAATGATATCGCCCAGGTTTCTAATGAAAATTGCAATGATATCGGCCAGATGAATAATGAAAATTGCAATGATATTGCCCAAGTAGCTAATGAAATTTCCAATGATATCGCTTAGGTATCTAATGAAATTTCCAATGATATTGCCCAGGTTTCTAATGAAAATCGCAATGATATTGGCCAAGTAGCTAATGAAATTTCCAATGATATCGGCCAGATAACTAATGAAAATCGCAATGATATTGACCAAGTAGCTAATGAAATTTCCAATGATATCACCCAGGTTTCTAATGAAAATTGCAATGATATCGGCCAGATAAATAATGAAAATCGCAATGATATTGACCAGGTAGTTAATGAAAATTGCAAATGATATTGGCCAGATAACTAATGAAAATTGCAATGATATCGGCCAAGCAGCTAATGAAATTTCCAATGATATCACCCAGGTATCTAATGAAAATTGCAATGATATCGGCCAGATAACTAATGAAAATTGCAATGATATCGGCCAAGCAGCTAATGAAATTTCCAATGATATCGCCCAGGTTTCTAATGAAAATTGCAATGATATCGGCCAGATAACTAATGAAAATTGCAAATGATATCGCCCATGTAGCTAATGAAATTTCCAATAATATCGCCCAGGTATCTAATGAAAATCACAATGATATCAGCCAGATAACTAATGAAAATCCACTTCAGTCACCCACCTTGAACAAGCTATTAGCCTTGTAAAATGTAAGAATGTATCCAGGCTAATAGGTTGTGCGGCCATTTATTTTTCTTGCCTTGGTAGAAAATATAATATTGGATTGGGTAGAAAATGTTTGACCTTTAATATTGTGACCAGAAATTTTTGGGTAGATAAATTGTGTTCAAAAATATCCTAGTCAAGTGAAAGTGGTCAGAAATATTTGAAGGGGTTCAGACTGGTAAGAAATATTTGAGCCAAGTCAAACTGGCCAGAAATATTTGAGGTGTGCCAAAGTGGCAAGAAATGTTTCAGTGGTGTGACATCGCTCGGATATATTCTAAGCATGTCACACTGCTGAAAAATCTTTTAGCTTTGTCACATGGCTCAAACATATCCGACCAGTGTCACGGGGTATCTGGGGTCCCAGTTTCAGAAAAAAAACTTGGTTTTTCTGGTGCAGTTTTCTCATCATTTTATACATTGCTTTTTTTTTCCCTCAAAACTCATCTAAGTTTCCTCTCACCAATACCCCACTTCTATCTGCCATTTTCACCACTCTAAGGTTGTCTTCACCAATACCCCACTTCTATCAGTCATGTTCACCACTCTAAGTCTGTTTTCACCAACACCCCACTTCTCTCTG